AAATATCCAAAGGATATAGCATACCACTGGGCCTCTGGTGTTCTATCTTTACCTGTTGACAAATCCCACACTCCTCCACATAACTAGCAACATCTCTTTTCAAATCGGGCCACCAAAAGCTCTTCCTTAAATCTTGATACATCTTGGTCGATCCATGATGAATGATAATTTACTTTTATGGGCTTCGTCCAAAATCAATCTCTTTAACTCTACATCTCTAGGTACACACACTTTATGTCTAAACATAATAACTTCATCGGTTGCTCAGGAAAATTTGGAAGACTTCACATAGCTTGTAACTATATATTGTTGCACTGAGCCTGGCGGATCTTTTCTCGCAGAAAATTCTCAACACTCAAGTTACTAATTAACATGTTGGTTGGTGCCCATTCGAACTGTAAGTCAAGGTCTTTGAATTTCTACAAGAGATCAAAGTCTAACATCATTAGTTCTGCGACTCGAATTTCTTTTCTTCTCAGAGCATCCGCTACTATCTTATCCTTCCTGGGATGATACTTCAAGTCAAAGTCATAATCCTTAAGGTATTCTATTTATCTCCTCTGACACATATTGATTTCTTTCTGGTTAAAGAGGTATCTCAAACTCTTATGATTACTAAACATATCAAAGTAAACCCCATACAGATAATGTCGCCACACCTTAGGCACAAAAACATTCGCAGCATGTTCAAGATCATGTGTAGGATAATTCTCTTCGTGCGATCTCAACTATTGAGACGCATAAGCCACAACTTGACCATCTTACATCAGAACTCCACCTAGCCCTTTCTTGGAGGAATCAAAGAATATTTCATACGATCACTATGGATCTGGAATCACTAGCACCTGAGCAGTAGTCAATTTCTTCTTCAAATTCTAGAAGCTCTGGTCACACTCGGAATTCACTTCAAAAGAAACCTCCTTCCTTGTTAGCCTTGTAAAAGGTAATGCTAATTTGGAAAATCCCATGATTAACCTCCAATAGTAACCCGCCAAACCTAGGAAGCTACGAACTTTAATTGCATTCTTGGGTCGTTCCCAATTTACCATAACTTCCACTTTAGAAGGGTCTACTGCTACGCCTCCACTAGAAATAAAATGTCTGAGAAACTTGACTTTCAACATCCAGAACTCGCATTTGCTAAACTTCGTAAACAATAACTTCTCATGAAGAACAAATAACACGATTATCAAATGTTCCACATGTTCTTCAACCATTCGAGAATAAATTAGAATGTTGTCTATAAAGATCACCAAAAACTGGTCCATATATGGTTGGAACAACTGGTTCATGTAATCCATAAAGACGGCAGGAGCATTGGTCACTCCAAACGGAATAACCAACAATTCATAGTGACTGTAGCGCGTCCTAAATGCGGTCTTTTACACATCCGAACTTTCAACCCAAATCTGATGATATCCTGACCTGAGATCAATCTTCGAGAACACGCGGGCTCTTTTCAACTGATCTAGGAGGTCATCAATCTGTGGTAGAGGATACTTGGTCTTGATGGTCACCTTATTCAATTGGAAATAGTCAATTCACAAGTGCATACTATCGTCATACTTCTTTACCAGTAGGACATGAGCGCCCTTATGGAGAAACATTGGGCCAAACAAAGTGTTTCACCAATAACTCTTCTAATTGACTCTTAAACACCCTTAGCTCTGTAGGAGACATCTAATGCAAAGCGGTAGAAACCAAAGTGGTTCCTAGAACAAGGTCTATAAAGAACCTAACTTCGATTTATGATGGAAGCGAAGTAACATCTTCCAGAAAAAACATCAGGAAATTCACACACAACAGGGATTTCAGACACACTCCTCTCACTTTCAAGATCTGAAATAAGGACCAAAAGGAAAGACTTCTCTTGAGTAAAAAGGAAATAGACCAATTTAATTGTACCTTCGATCAGATTTCTAATAGCATTGACAGAAGAGGTTTCTTCAACAGGAATGAAGATAGCTTTCTCTTTACAACCGATGTACACTGAGTTGGCTGACAAATAATCCATACCCAATATCAAGTCGATCTTCTAAAGAGGAAAACAAATAAGATAAATCAAAAAATTACGGTCATTAAAAGTAACACAACAATCCTTACAAACTTTTAGAGCTTCTATTACATCATTCATAGTAGACGAGATAATCATATGATTAGAAAGAGTAGTGGATTCGAATCCGAGTTGTCGCATACACAAATTAGAAATAAAGGAATGCATCGCTCCACAATCCGCTAAAACAAACAAAGGTTAATTATTAACATAATACATACCAGTAACAATATTTGTGTTTCCTTAGGATTTCCTTGCATCCAAGGTGTACACACGACCTGCAGTCTTATCCAGAATATTCTGATTTAGGTAGTCCCTAATCAAGTGACCCGTCAATCCACATCAATGACACTTCCATGAGTCCAACTAGTAATTCCCATTATGCCTCTTATTTCACTTGCCACATATAAGAGGTTGAGCCAATCGATCACCATAAACTGGCTTCCTTACTGGAGGAGAAATTCGACGTTTCAGATATAGCCCCGACTTCCCCTAATCCTTACGCAAAGACCGAGTTTGCTCCCTCTCTTCCTTAACTCTCTTCAAACAATTTTAAGCAACATAGCATTGTCTCAAATATTAAACATAAGTGGAGAATACTCATTGAGACACACTATGGGCAACATCAGCATTCAATCCAAACAAAAACTGGTTGATCTTCCACATCTCATCAGGTGCATAAACAACTTGTCTGGAGTAAGTAACCATGTCTTCAAATTTATCAGCATACTCAGACACTGACACGTTCCCTTATAATAGCTGAAACTCTCTCTTCTTTTGAGAACGCAAGCTATTCGGGTAATATATCTCCAAGAATGCTGTCTTGAAGTGCTTCCAATCTCTAAGAATCGTCTAGGAGTTGAAATAGGTAGATGTAGTATCCCACCAACTACCAGCTGGACCTTTCATCATTTGAGCAACAAACATCACTTTGTCTTCCTCGGTACACTGGATGGTCGGGAATACCCTCTCTGTGATGTAAAGCCAATCTGGGGCAGCTACAGGATCCAAGCCACTCACAAACTCTGGTGGTTTCATCCTGAAAAAGGCACGAAAATATGGACCCACTAGAGCTTGTGGAACAGGAGCAGGAGCAGTTGGTTGTGGTCCTTGCATATCCTGCATCATCTGCATCATCAATTGATTCTACTACTGTATTTGTTGCATCATCTGCAACCAAAGCATGTTAGCCTTTCTAGTTCAGGCTCCACATGTCTAGTTCATGGCCTTCCGGGACCTTTGCATCCATCAACCATCTTCCTATTTGTTTGACACATAGAATTAAGTTGATCAGGCTCAATGCCATAAGTGGAACGTAAGGAATAATGCCGACAATTACACATATGAGGTCGAATTATAATGACTTATGATGTTTCGTGGCAAAGCCGACAATTGACCTGCTCTGATACCAACTCTAACACCCCATACATATCATTTCCTAGGATAATACATATATGGCATTATAATGGTAAATGAAATTCATACATAAGCAGCGGAGCATAGATAAGTATTAGTACATGATACAAACTTGTCGAACTCTCATGGCCAAAATGATATAAATCCAAAAGTACTAATACATAATCCAATGTACATAAACTGAAGGTATAAAAGAAATGAAACATCGCCAAGAAACATCGCCGACAAGCTAAGCCATCTTACCCTTGTCATGATCCCTCCTCGAAGAACCTGAAAAATATTAATTGGAATGAGGTGAGATTACTAAATCTCAATGAGTCTCCCTATCTTAGGAGTTCAATGAGTTCTATAGGGCGTATGCATCAGAATGGATCCACCGTGAATCTGAATTTTTATCACAACTTGGTACAAGTACACAATAGGGAAAATCTCAATTGGTAGTCCCTTTACATCCCAACGAGATTAAACAACACATAACCAAAACAAACAAGTATGCAGACCCGTACCCATGTACGAGGAATCCAAGAGTACGTTAATTCCCCTAGTCAGGTTACACTATCACACCCTCGGTGATTTACACCCGTGCATCGCATCTAGAGACTTTCCTCGGTCACAGCACGACGATCCATTTCGTTCATAAGTGGAATTCCATCTGTGACAAGTTCCAGGAGTGACATTTGCTGATGAGGCATCATGACTCGTCTGTCATCCAAATGCATATGATTAATTGTCGGTGCAAAGACGTCATCTTAATAGCACGAGCCCATCGGGCGAAAGACTAATGGTTTTGCTTACATGGCACCATTATAGTTGAGTTACAAATCCATGGAGTGATCTTGCCTATGTGGAATCACAACCAACCATACCAAGCATGCAGTGTTCTTAAATGCTGGTGGAAATGCCACACATGGACCCACACAAGCGCATCACAATGGTAGCTCAGGTGCTTATGACATACCGAGCACACAGATGTTCTTAACTGCTGGTGAAAATGCCACACATGGATCCACACAAGTGCATCACAATGGTACAAATTGACACACAAGGTCTACGTCATAAGTAATTTACTTCCTAGTATTCGGGCCTACTCCGATTCAAGTATACATCAAATTCACAATGTGTATCAGGCCCAAAAGGCACATATAAATTTGAGCAAACATACACCATTGAACGTTCAGCCGAAACGACGGGCAATCACACTTTTTCAGGCAATTATCAAATACGACATTTCCAACAATCACAAGTATCAATCATACCTATTAATTAATAGGAGCATATCATAAATTTTCAAGCATAATTTATTCTACGTATAATCATGCATAATCATAATCCAATTGCTTGACAATTAAATCATAGGATTTAATAGTCTATAACACCTCTAGAATATCCAGAATCTAATCGGGGAAGCATTCAGTTACGATCCCGGGACAACACTGCACTCGGGGAATTATTTTCAAAAAATTTGTATCCCAGTTCACGATAAGCGCAGTCCCTCGCGCTAAGTGCGCCCTGAAGAATTGACAACTCTAAGTTACATAGGCGAGTGCGCTGAACACTGCGAAAAATACAAAATTATTAGAACAAACAGTTATGTCTTGGGGACACAAAACCCAAAATTTACCACCCCTTTTTAGTTACCTATAACACATAAATACAAATTTTGAGTTAGAAACATGTTATTCATGAATAACAACCAACATGCAACATCAAATTCTCAACATAACCCTTAACCCCCAAATTCATATTAAACCCTTAAAATCCTAAGTCTCTAACTATGAGACTCACCTTAGAGTAGGGAAGAAGAAGCCTGGACAGAGGTAGATGACGATGAATCAAAGGTAGGAACTTGGTCTTGGAACATACAAGAGATGATGATGGAGGTTAGCTCAAAATGGAACTTCTTCTCTTCCTCTCTTTCACGCTTCCTCTCTTTTTTTTCTCAAATTCTGATTTGGAATAACATGAATAATGTTACAAGGCCAAACAAACCCTTATTCCTGACTTAATGGATGAAATGACTATTACACCCTCCAATTATTCTTCAATAACCACTATGCCCTCGGTTATAATCTAAATAAATAGAAAATATTCATTATTCTCATATTAGAAAAAAATAGAATATTACATTTATAATTTTAATTAAAAAATTATAATTTGTAATTTGGATATTCAAAAAGATATCTAAATTAAAAGGTATGAAATGAATCGAGTCATATCGTATTTTTTCAATCAATCATTTAAAATCAAACCGAACCATAAATAAATTTATATTTTATTCGTTTTTTCCACGTCCATGATATGTTAAATTTTCAAACAATGGATTCATATACTAGAATTAAATAAACAGTCACTCATATTTTTCTATTTTAGTTTTTTATCTAACAAAAATTCAATTATAATGTGGTTAATATAAAATATTCAATCGCAATAAGTAATCAAAAACAGTTAAATACCAATTTGAAAAATATCAGTGCCATAATTTTATTAAATTTATTTTAACACGCTCTTACATTTAACATTTATTTTTTGAGCATTATGCTATATTTTTTATAGACTTAACATTTATATACGCAATAACATTTGGTTGCTGATCCCAATGGCTCACAAACTCCGTTACCATCATACTGCTCATAGCACCATTGTTGACAATCCCAAAGGATACAAACACTAGAAGGACCATAACGGATTGTCTTACATAATTTGTCTGCTTGACATGTCATGGTTACAACTGTGGAAAAAAAGCATAATTACATTCTTATAATTAAGTTTTATAAGGTTAACACCCAACAAAAAAATATTATTACATACATACATACACACACATAAGTGTTACAAAAACATATTAAAAAAAAAATTGTATACCTGAAAAAATAAAGAAAAGGACAAGAATGGATATGAAAGAAAACTTAGTAATTTTGAATAGCTTCAATTTCAAATGTGTGAATGAGATATATTTTGACTACATGCAAACCTCGAATTTATATACAAACAAAAAAATATATAATAATTGAAAAGCTGAAAAGTGGATAAATATCTTTTCAGATTTTTCAATATAAAGTTTAAAATGAACCTTTTTAATATTTTAAATTAATGCATATTTAGTAAATATTTTTAATATTTTAAATTAATTTATGTTTAGTATATATTCTTAATATTTTATATTAATACATATTTAGTTAATATTATTAATATTTTATATTAATGCATATTTATTAAAAATTCTAGAAAAGAAAAGATAAATTCAAACAAAATAAATTTTTTCAACAATTTAAGATTGTATATTTGACAAATATATTATTGATTTCATTATAGTTTTGGTCCATCTATTTTATGTCATTCAAAGAATTATTATTTCTATTTTATATTGTTTGTATTTATGACAAAAAATTATTTTCATGAATTTTGTAAAATAGAAAGACTAAAACTGTAATTATACCTATAAATGATTGAAAATAGAATATATTGGTAAATTTTATACTTTACTATCATGTGTTTATGGTTAAAAGAGATATTTTTTAAAGGAAATTCATTGTTTAGATGGGATGTTTTTATTTAGAAAATAATACTACGAAAATATCTGTTATGTCGAACTAGTTTATTATTAATATAATTGTTATTATTATTTTTTAACAAAACTTGATATATTAAAAAAAGAACGATAAGTACAAGGGATCGTAAGCGATCCAACCCACAAGAAGACAATTACAACATAAACTCAATAATATGAGGTTTTAACCTCTTACAATTCCAAGCTCTAAAGATAATGGTATTCAAATTTTGATCCACAATATTCTTCTGCATGCTCATATTACCAAATCATTTATCATTTCTATAGCACCACAAGACATAGATTGTTTCAGTTACAACAAGCTTTAAAAGGTTAAATCTCCAACCCTTCCTATAACACGGTTGCCCTATCCAAGGAAGCTCCAAATGCCAACCCTTCGAAACATGGTTCACATGAAGCCAGCTCAAGATATTATGCCAAATAGCATGCATTTGTGAACATTCAAAAAACAGGTGATCTAAGGTTTCAACCTGCTAACAGAAGCAATAACTAGTGTTAGAAACCATGCCAAATTTTTGAAGCCTCTCCTTCATATCCAACCTTCTGTGACAAGCAAGCCAAAAAGTTATCAAAGCCCTTCGACTAGCAGAATTATTCAAGAATAAGTGATTACAAATTGGCTCATGATCATCTTTAGTTAATTCATTATACACAATATTCATCTTGAATTTACCCTGACTATTCATCTGGTTCCAAGTATTTTGAATAGACGAAATAAGTGATTCCAAATTGGCTCATGATCATCTAGGTCCACCTATTTTATGTCATTCAAAAATTATTATCTCTATTTTACATTGTTTGAATTTATAATAAAAAATCAATTTATGAGTTTTGTAAAATAGAAAGACTAAAACTGTAATTATACCTATATATATATTTAAAATATAATATACTGATTACCTGTATACTTTACTATCACGTGTTTATTGATGCGGTGTATTCGCAAGTGTATGAATCACGTCAGAGCAATATAAAAGATTATCGATCCATAGAGACCAATCGTCAATCTATTGTATCCTATTGTTACGCTGTTTAGCTAAGTCAATATTAAATAGGGAATTGAGCATGCAAGAAAGTAAAGTGCGGAGAAATAAACTTCAGATATAACAGCAAGGTCGAATGTAATTCACATAGTCAGATGATATTCGCAATGCTTCAGAATATAACTACTTATAGGGCAATATTTTTCTACTAAAGAAAAGAACTAATTTAACAAGAACTATCGCTTTCGTGTAATCAGAACTGAGTTTACTCTCTAATCAGACCTTCTTATCGTCACTTATAAAAAGGCGAGCATTGCGTTAAAGTAATAAACCTATTTTTAAGATGTAAAGTACTTGACCAAGTTGCAAAGTATTTTGATCTGGAATTTCTAATAAAAGGGGACCTAACTTTAACATTATAAACGCGTCTGGAAATAGTTTCAAAATTGATTTCTTTGATAATAAAAATTCCTAACTAACCGGACAAAGCGCTTTCGCTTCCTTTGACCAGTTAGAACTAACCGAGTTTAACAAAGGGTTAGATGACTTTCGATCTTACCCAACAACAATAAAGTACAAAAAACTCGTATTAAAAACAAAAATAGCCCATAAGCATTTCTATTGACACATTATTTGGAATATCGATCTAACTAGATTCCCTACATTCTAGCCCAATAAGGTTCAGCCTGACATGGGAATGTAAACATATATGTTAAAATAAATCATGCGAGAAAGTAAATAATTTAAAGTGTGGTGCGGGAAATAAACAAAGTAAAAGCAGTGTAGAAAATAAACAAAGTAAAGGCAAGTGCGGGAAATAGACAAAGTAAAAGAAGGTGCGGGAAATAAACAAAGTAAAAGCAGGTGCGAGAAATAAACAATGTAAAAGCAGGTGCGGGAAATAAACAAAGTAAAAGCAGGTGCGGGAAATAAAAAAAGTAAAAGCAGGTGCGGGAAATAAAAAAAGTAAAAGCAAGTGCGGGAAATAAAAAAAGTAAAAGCAGGTGCGGGAAATATAAATAGAAACCTTCTCCAAACGGGGATGTTTTAAATTTGGTACTGTTGTACCCCAATTTTTGCCCCTAAGATTCCCCTATCATATCATGTCAACTTGATCATAACAAGATCACATTAGGGTTGGTTCTTCCTCCTTTTTCTATCTCCTATCTTTAAGTTTGCTCTTGAGGAATCTCCAAGCACCTTGGTTATGTATTTTGTATATGTGTTGATTGACTAACTTCTAATCAAAATACAAAAAAAATTTATTTGTCCTTGTCTTTGCACAATTTGTGCTTTGTAGATACTGAGTCAAAGCATTCGACAAATAAGGTTTTCCGAGTTGATTGATCCTGTATTGGGTCGAAAGAAATCTTGTATGGATCCAAGAAAGCTTGTGTTAAACTCATGAAAGTTGATTGATCCTGTATTGTGGCAAAAGACAGCATGCATCGACCCATAAAGGTATGTATCGACTCATCTTGATGTGTATAACTGGCATGTGTCGACACATGCATGTATGTATCGACTCATCCTGTTTGAATAACTAGCATGTGTCGACACATGCATGTATATATCGACTCATCTTGTTTGTATAACTAGCATGTGTCGACACATACGTGTTATGTATCGACTCATGCAGTTTGTGTGATTCTGTAATGTGTTGAAATAACAGTATGTATCGACGCATAGAGGCATGTATCGACACATGCTATGTTATACAGCTAGGATGTATCAACACATACCACCCATGTATCGACTCATAAGAGCAAAATGCACGTGTTTTTTGAAAAAGCCAGCAATTTCAAATCTGTCTCATTTTTTGCTCCAATTTTTTATGCATAATTTGAAATTATATCATTAATTCAAATTTGGCTCCAAGAATAAATTACCAAATTACAACTAATCCCAATCCTAAAACTCTATAAATAGACACCTCATTTCATTCAAATCACAAGCTTTTGATAGCCAAACTCATCTTGCTAAAAAATCTCTCAATTCTCTACATCTACAAAATTCACTCAAAGCTCCATTTTCAAAAAGTTAGTAAGCTTTGCATTGAAAATTACTAATCTTTGAGCTAAACCTTCACCCAGATACTTTTCTCCATCAATTCCCTACATCCAAGCTTTGGTAATTGATTCTTGTGGTTGAGTTAAGGCAAATTCTGGAAGTTGTTTGATAATTCTCTAATTATACCTTTGGTAAGTTGGATCATCATCTTTCACAATGTGATCTCTTGTGGATTTATGGTTTTGATTCATTGAGCACTGTTTTATGATTCCATTGGTGCTATTTTCTCATAATTTGATGGCATTTTCATGCTTAATTGGATCCATGATCATAAGGTGTTTGATGAAAAGTTGGAACAAGAATTTGATCTTTAAAATGTTGTTTTCTACTGATTTTTAACAGGTTGCAATCAATTGTTGTAACATTGCAATTGATTGTCACAGAAAATTGATTTGATAAAAAACTGCACTGATGCAATAAGTTGTTGTCTAGGCAATTGATTGTAATAGTGCCAAAAATATTTTCCTGCCTTATTTTTGGGGCTGTTTTGACTCAAATATTTTTCTGCTCATTCTCTTTGATGGATAATTTGGATTGCAATTTTAAATGTCCAATTTGTCTTTAAACTCAATGGACTTTGTGATGTAGATGAAGTTGGATAAATGTTTATCAATTCAAATCTACCTAAGAATGAATTATTTAATTCATTTTTGGTGCTTTGGATTAATGATATGTTTAGTGCTTTAATCCATCTAGAGGAGTGGTTGAATTTAAAGATGAAAGGATTTTGAAATGGTAATCCAAATTAGCTTATCATTCCCCTCTCTCTTCATCTTATCCTATTCTTTTTTTTAATTGTGCTACATGTTAAGGGATGGTGATCTCTATATCATTTATCCAAACATGATTACATAGATTGCTATTGACCGGCCTCAAAATAGGTGCGAATTCTACATAAGTCCACTTACGATTGCTTAACATAGCGCTAAATTTTGTCCCGATTCGAATAAATGATCATTTGTGGCTCAAACTTATGATTATAAGCCCAAGTATGTTAATTTGATCTCTTTGATCCAATAACCTTGAGATTCATTAAGGGGAGGCTTTGGTTCTACCAATCCTCTAATGGATCTAAAACACCTTTGTTCAACGCGGATCACTTAAACTTCGTTGATCATTACATGTTACTTTTTTTGAGAATTCCAAAATGGATGATATACTTAACAAAAAGCAAATGAAACTTGTTGTGTGGAGGGTTTGGTTCTACTAATCCTCTAATGAGTTCCAAATGCAAGTTTCAAGATGATCATCCAATTAACCACTAATTTCTAACAATTGACTTTACTTTATGCTTTATAATTTTTTATGCTTTATGCACCATTTAATTTAAGCATTTACATTTCATGTCATCTTTTTATTTTGCTCACTTGAGCATTTAATTTTATGTCATTTTTTATTTTGCTCACTTGAGCTTTTCTTTTCCTTTTAAATATACCTAATAATCAACATGAACCATAAAAATCTTTAATGATATTTGGACTATTGGTTACTATCCTTGGCATTATGGAGCATTGGACTTCTTGGACTTAGGATTAGAGACCTTGGCCTATCTTGGAGACCTTGTGACCATAATTCTTTATTTTGTCTGGAGTTCTTGAGGTTTACCTCGGGATATTGGGTTGTTTGTTTGTTTTGTGTGTAGGTTATTGTGATTACACACTTTGTTTGTAATTTGGAATTCACCCGTATACAGCCGTTACTCTGCCCAATTTTTGCGAAGAATTAATACACTTGAAGTTTGGTTCTCTCAAGAGGTCTAGTATTTTTGCTTGCTTGGTTTCCATCCAAAGAATGGGAATTCTATATTGACTCATAATGTCAAGTATTGGCTTCTTGTTGGTTAGATGGTTCTTATCCCTAGCTTTTACCTTATGCTTTAAGATAATCTCTTCATCTCCTCCCACCTTCTTTAATTTCAAAAACCTTCTCCCTCCTTTTGAAAACTCTTCTTATTTCTAAACTTGAACCACTTTTATAATAAACTTGGACGTAGGTCCATGCATTTTCAAAACATTTTTATAAATAAATTTCAATCAATTTAATAATACCTTGACATTTTTTGTGAGAAGACTAAAAGTCAATCAATCTCATTTCAAACCATTTTTACCACTTTGGATTTTTATGTTAAAAACTTTTCTTAAAAGATTAGACTCTTGTTAATCCTTTTAGTGATGCAAATAACTATACTTCTATAATATGTAGTAAAGAGAGATATTTTCCACTTGGG